AATTTTTCATTCTATGTACGTCTTCTTTCCTTGTTTAGCTAATTGCTTATGGTTTGTTGCTTTGCATGTGTGGGTTTGTGAGTACTAGTCACTAGAGTGCCTTTTGCATATGAGGTCTTTTCATGCTTCTGCGTTTAATGTGGTTTGGTTCTTTCATAAAACGGGGCAATATCATATGGTGGCAGTTGAAAGCTAAGAACTAAGATTACTCTTTATTGCATAGAGAAAAAGGGGTGGTCAAGGGAATTGTTGTCTTCTTGCATTGGGATACATTGCGTTCATCTCACCACTAGTATCACCTACATGGAGCAACCCGTAGCCTAAGATTTAATTAAGTACTTTTTTTTGTATGATTTTTTTTGGCCTGAAGATTTAATTACTAGATGAATCCTTACTAAGTTTTTGTGTTAGAAAATTGATTAGTACAGTTTTGATATCTTTTAATATTCATTTAGTTTAATTATTAAAATATAATATAAATATAATTATTTTTTTATTGATATCTTAATTTAGTTATTAAAATATAATATGAATATAATTAATTCAATTAGTTTTTATATAGTTATATACTATATGCATTGCTGTAATTTTAAATTTTTTAGAATTTTATTTTAAATTAAAAAAATAATTTTCTAATAAATATATTGTACTATATATTAAATCAAATGATGCATATTAATACCCTTTGTGTTATTAATTTAATCAAACTCTTTGGGTTAAATTTCTGGCAGTTTGACGGTGGTAGATCAAATTCATGATCTTGACTTGTCCTGAGAATTCATCTTCCCTTCCAACGACAAGACTGCCGGCCCTCATTAGTCACTAGAGCCTTCTTTTACCTAATTTGATGAATTTGAGTCAGCTGGTGCAGCATCCCCTTTCTTGGATATTGATTTCTTTTATATATATTTTATTCGATTTTATATCTGTTCACTGAAAATTAGATTGCTTTTTTCTTTTTCTCTTGTGCAACAAAGGAAAGAAATACTATTTCCAATTTATTATTTTTTCCCCATTATTTGTACCAATGGACCCATAGTTTTTTTTTGGCATTTTTCCTCTTGAAAACTGGGGTGGGAAACCATGGGATTCATTTGGTATTTTAATATGAACAAAATTCATTCCAATTTTCTAATCTTCCTTCTCCTGCTTTAATTTCCTGTATCGTGCAATTGAACAGATAGATAAAGAGAGAGATTGAAAGAGATTTACATTTAATGAGATCCAAACTGAGCATTATTTTTGGGTATTATGAAGACTTCCTAGAAAAGTGTACAGTTAAAAAATTAGCTGTATATGCATTGATCTTGGAGTAGAGAGTTGTTTCTCCTTTTGGTTTCACAGGAGATCCCATGTGGCATATTTTAAATGGGCAATATTCTCCAAAGCATTTTTGTTTATGTTTAAATGAATCTATTAATTAACAGTGCAACCTATTTTACTAGTTAATGAAATTTTCTTTCATATAATTAATTTTTCTTTGTTCCTTTTAAATTTGTACATGTTGTCAATTTAAAAAACAGATGCTATCAAAATTATGTAGCTAGTTTGGTTTATGCGCTATTATACCATCACTGGAAATTAATTTGATGACTTACGGTTAGTTAATTTATTATATAATGATTAAAGAAATTTAAGTCTCTTAACTAACTGATTGTCACAACAGTGTAAATAATTTGGAGGATGACATGATTAAATTAAGCATTAGTCATTAATCCTATTTATAATTAAGCTATTGTACAGTTAATGTAGCAACAGCCAACCACTAATACTATACTTAGTGAGAAATTCGTACTGACAACAAACTAAAATCACCACTCATTTAAATTGATATACTTTTTTTTTTTGAAAGTCAAAGGAAATAATTTTATTAAAAGAGTGTAAGGTTACTCAACCCATAGACATAGGAGAGAACATAATAACAAATTAACAATGTTTTAAGCTGAATTGCATACGCAAAATTCAAACTGACCGACCAACCCTTATTCGGGTAGGTCGACACATGCAGTTTTTAACATTTGTTCCAAAGTTGACAATATATTGTCAAAAAGGACTCTTTCCCATGCACATCTCTTTACCCGCTCCCAACGAGCCAACTAAGACGTCGTTTGACTGAAACCTTATATACCTCTTATTCTAAAATAATATCATTTTTTGGTATTTCATTTTGGCTTTGGTACAACGTGAAGACGGTTTACCAACGTGAAAACTGCATACAACCAGGTTGGCCAGAGTTTCTGGATCCTTTGCATCCTTGTTTAATGCTTCATTTCTGTATTTCATTTGAAATCTTATTATGTCAACCATGTTGATTGCAAAATAATTTTTGATCGATTACCCACCTATAAAGGATAGGTATGTCAATCATAATTATTATAACCTAAATTATAATTGAGAATGAATCACATCTTTGTCATTTATGAAAAAAAAAAAAGAAGAAAGAATATATACAAATTATATTTATAGCTTTGCCATAATAATAAAGAAAACTCAGTGCCAAGAATTGAAGTAGTGAATCTCTTATAAATATATGATAAGATTTCAATATATATTCTTTAAGAAGGTCTCGTTATAAAAAAAATTAATAATCGTAATATGTATGAGAATATGGGGTTGCTTGCACCCTAAGGTTAATTTGGCATTATTTTAAATTTTAGTATGTGTCTGTGGGCAGCTGTAATATTTGAGTATTGAGAACAAGTGGAGAGGATGAGATGACTTTGCCATCTTGAGAAGAAATCAAATTAAGAATGGAATTAAAAAAACAGAGGTTCATGACGTGTTTGTAGATTCCAAAGCGAAATAAGCATTGGATATTATTGATGACTTTGTGCCAAAGACAAAAGGGAAGAATATTAATTATTTCTGCCTATTATACTTTCAAGTGGAGGTTGCAAACATAAATATATTGGCAGTTTTTCAGTGTCATTTTTTAGAAATATTTTAAAAAACTCAAAAACATTAGGTCTTATGTCTGCTTAATTAACAAAAATGAAAAAGATGTTTTGTGTCATCTTAATATATACTTATATTTTTAAATTGAATGATTAAGGGAGTTTCAGGTTATCATCTGAGATTCAAAAGGAAATAAACTCACCAATTAATTTTTGTCACCAAAACTTGACGAATTGAAAATGTTGCGTTTGTGTACACACTAAACATGCTAAAAAATAAAAATAATTTAACTATAAAAAAAAGTATACATTTGTTTGATCTCTTCTGGTTTGACCCATTCTCCATAAATAAGTAGACAACCAAAAAAAAAAT